TTTGAAATCAGCCAGCTTGGCATTTGTTCAGTCAACCGCCTCTTGGGCTTTAGTAAAACTTTTACAATCGGTTGTGCACGTATTGCTCTTTTGAGTGTTGGTGATAAAAAAATTGTGTGAATAGCTTTGAGTCTCTTCTCCCCCCCCCCCCCTTTTCCGTATGTTTAATCTCATTTCTTTTTCAGTTGCGTTCACTTAGACCCTTGCTTATGGATCTTTTCTGCCCCCACCCCCTCCTCCCACACACACATGGCAGATCGTATGGGTCCCTGTGAAAACGAGATGACCCACGGCCTTTATAAAAGGCATGTCATAAGAATCGACTAACTCGGGGTTTCTTTTGAAGTAAAAATGCATCTGAGAGTTGAGGAACCAACAGTCTGCATAGTAATAAGCTAGATCTGTAAAACGGATGTGCGTATAACACTCATATTCTGGGATAAGACTAAAATCCAGAAGTGGAGGAACAGCCAAAAATTTCCACAGGAGTTTACAGTCAGTGAACGCAATGGAGAACATTACTGTCTGGAAATTTTACCAATGTCTACTCCACAATTTGCACAACTTGAACGGATTCAAAATTAGGGAATTGTCTTGGTTGCGCACGAGATATCTCTATTAAAACAATAAAGTATACATGATAAAGTTCTGTACTGTCAATGGCACAAACCAAGGCCTTCATTAAGAGCTACCAATGATGAAAGACATTAAATGCATGACAATCTGAATGATTTTAGAAGAGACTGTTAGTATCTGGGGAAAAGGGGGGGGGGGGGAGATACGTTTTGTGTTTGCCGACCCAGGATGAAATTGACTTCACTTGCCATTCACATTCATTCATTCATTCAGTAGCATGTCCCTCGTGGAACCTCGCTGCCATAACAACCCTCCGGAAAACCTTCCTATCCTGAGCAAGATGTCCTGCGTCTGATACACCCACCTGGAGATCATCTGCCACATCCTGCACCCATCTTCTCCTTGGCCTTCCTCTTCCTCTCTTCCCAGGCATATACCCCTCCATTATTGTTCTCTCTAGACTTCCATGACGTTTCAAGTGACCAAAATATTTCAATTTTCTTTGTTTTATTGTCTTTACTAGCCAACCCTCTTCAATATTCAGCTCTTGAAGTATGAATGCATTTGTTCTTTTCTTTACCCAAGATATTCTTAGAACCTGTCTGTAACATTTATATTCGAATGCATTTATGCGCTGTTCCGCTTGTTTAGTAAGTGTCCAAGTCTCACAGGCGTATGTTGCAATGGGAAAGATGCATGCTCTTAAAAATCTGACCTTTGTAATTCTATCTGTACAATTCCATAATTTATTCAGTTGTTTTAGTCTTTGAAGAGCAATTGATAGTCGCCGTTTAATTTCTTTCATTGTGTCACCATTGTTGGTAACCAGTGACCCAAGATATTCGAAATTTTCCACCACTTCCAATCTTTCCTCATTAACATATATTTCCTTCTCCATGGCAGTTTTGTTTGTATGCATTATCTTTGTTTTTGCTATGTTAAGAAATAAGTTATGATTTTCACTATTTCTTTGGAGTGAGGTTAATAAGTTTTCTAAACCATTTTGTGATGTTGATAGTAATACTGTATCATCAGCATAAACGAATTTCTGGTATTTCATGACCACCGATGTTTAGGGCATCATATTGTTCCTTGTTTATATCATCTCTTACATTTCTCATTATATTTTCGGCGTACAGGTTAAACAAATACGGTGACAGCACACATCCCTGACGGACTCCTTGCTTGATGCCAAACCAGTCTGATGTCTCTCCATCTATTCTGACTGCTGCTTGTTGGTCTTGATAGAGCATTTTAATGAGCTGCACTATGTGTGGTGGAAAGCCCATATTCCTCATGATTTCCCAAAGCTTCTGATGTTGTACACAGTCAAATGCTTTTGAATAATCCACAAAACATAAGAACAGATTTACATTAAATTCTCTACACTTCTCTATTATTAAACGCATGTTGAATATATGATCTCTTGTTCCTCTTCCCAGTCTAAATCCAGCTTGAGCTATATTAATCTCTTCTTCCATTTTCTTATGCAGTCTTCTCATTATAATTTTTAGTAGAATTTTTTTTTGCATGACTGATCAGGGCAATAGTTCGATAGTTTGTACATAATTTCAGGTCACCCTTTTTTGGTATTGGAATGAAGATAGTTCTCTTCCAGTCTTTTGGCCAAATACCATATTTCCATATCTTTTCACATAATGCATGATAGATTTTTATGCTTTCTTCTCCTCCCGCTTTAATCAATTCAGCTGGTATCTCATCACATCCAGGTGATTTACTATTTTTCAGGCTCCTTATTGCCCATGAAATTTCATCTAATGAAGGTTCAGGTTCTGCCTCTACTGTTATGCCATTCACAAATCGCCATAAAAAGCGCGACACCCCGGCAAAATAGGACAAGCCATGCGATACGGCGAATTATAAATGGCAACTTAAGTCACTCTCTTCCTGGGCAGGGAAACGTGAAGCGAACCAAATAATGCCAAGAGCTGGCGGTCTCATTCGAGCAAATGCTAAGGAAGCCGGGATATGTGGCAGGAACACGCAAAACAGCAGCAGCAGTTTTGCCAGGATGGGTTTATAGGAATACACAGACAGGCATGTGTAACCTATCCGCAATGCAGCTGAAACCTCGATTAACTAACTGAATAGATTCATCCTATATACAGGCAATGGGTTCCCCCGGGCATCATTGAAAAAAAGGGGGAGGAGGGAATTTACCGATTGCCAAGCATAGAAAACGGGGGGGGGGGGGGAGAAGGCGGTTCAAGCCTTGTTTAATTGCACAATCTTCTTCTTCTTCTTCTTCTTCTTCTTCTTCTTCTTCGATCCTTCTGTCAGAAAACTTATATCAGGAGGCCGGTAGCCTTTATGAAAGCTATCGTGCAATCCATATCCTCTCGTGTACCATACAGTTTTGTCTTCAGTGTGGTTGGAACAGACCAGATTGCGTCTCTGTTGTCAGCATTCAGTTGACAGTGTTGGAGCACATGCTCAGCATTTTCGGGTGCCACGCTGCAATGACACGTCTCCGTATTTCCTACACCAAAAAATTTGAACATATGTTGACGAAATCTGTTGTGCCCTGTCCTTAGTCTGAATATAATACACTGTCCCTCTCTAGGGAGGCGATGAAGTGAGTCTTGGGGAGAAAATCTGGTGTGGGTATCCAGCCACCTTTCTTGGACACTAGCTTGTATTAGTGTTTTCATCTCTTGGTGGGTTAAGTCGCTATTTGGTTGTACCATGTCACCGCCGCTTCTGGCCAATCTGTCCGCTATTTCATTGCCTTCCAAGCCACAGTGACCTGGAATCCACTGCAGTACAGATTGTTCTACTGAAGAGCCTAAGCAAATCAGCTGTTGTGTCAAGTCTACAAACTGAGTGTCTTTTGGGTTAACAATTGCTTGTAGAACTGACATAGAATCAGTCAGAAAGACCACTCTGCTATATTTGCTGTGCTGTTGTCCATTCAGGAAAGAACATGCCGCTAGAAGTGCTTCTGCCTCTGCTCTATAATTGGAGGAATATGAACCTGTTGGTACAGCCTGGTTGATTTTTAAACCATTTGGGCATTCTATGTATATTCCTCCTCCTCCGTCTCTTATTGCTCTCTTGGCTGAGCCATCTGTATACACTCGAATCCAACTCTGGTGTGGATAAAGTCTATTGATCTCTCCTTCTGTAGTTGATATCATATCAGTGCTGCTCATAGATGATTTGGAGGAGACCCCTGTTACAGTGGTTCTGACTGTTGGTAGGCTATCCCTAAGCCAAGCGGGGCAGTCGTTGTAAGGTTTAAGTGGAACATTTGGTATTATGGGAGGGAGTTTAAGGACAGCGAGCTTGGCATTTGCGTTCTTGATAAAACAGGTTCTCTTTAGTCTAACCTTCTGGGGTTTCTGCAGTCGGCTGAACATGGGTTGTTCTTGAAAGTGGTTGTATTTGGAGAGCTGGGTGAGGAGCTTTGTGTCTCTCCTATCTTCCAGATTTTGGAGACCAGTAATTGTTTCCATATTTGATATTGGCGTGGAGCGCATTGCCCCTGTCATAATACGGAGCGCATGGTTTTGGATCTTTAAGACTTTCTGAAAATTTGATTTAGCAGCTGTGCCCCAAGCAGCTATTCCATATTCTAGTGTTGGCCTCACATAGCCTGTATAGGTCCTCTTAAGGACATTGAGGTTTGCCCCCCAGTCTGTTCCAGCTAACTTCCTCATCAGTTGTGTTCTCTTGAGTCCCTTGCTCTGTGTCTTTTCTATCTGTTTTCTCCATGTGAGTCTTGGGTCAAAGGTTACTCCTAAATATGACGGTGAGTCATCATGTATCAGATGATAAAAACACCTATTATTGCGCAGTTAAACAAGGCTCAAGACCTAAAACCTCAAGCCTTTTTTATATTACAATAAAAATACTTACTTAGTCGCTCCTTTTCTACCTTGGGGTGTAGTGATTTGCCAGAGAGATTGCCAGACTTCCTTATCAACGGTCATAATAAAAATATTTCTTATGTGGTGAATGGCAAATAAATAATATATATTTGAAATATGAAATTGTAAACAAATATATATATTGGGAGGGGTGCAGGGACCCAAAGTGCCTGGGTCCCGAGGCTCTGGCGCCTTTGCACATTGCCCCTAACAAGCATATCATAAAGGCGACTAGTTATAGTTTAGCTGAAATCTGATAATAAGAGTTGAAAAGCACAGATGTCGTAGCTTAGCCGTAAACCACAAAACCTGCCAACCGTCCTCTATCTGGCAAAGCATGCAGTCGTTATATATTCCCTTCGGCTAGTCACGTGAAAACAATCTGGCCACACGGAACGAATACTTCCACGCAGCAACAAGATGTATCATCTTTATGTCTGATGTGCATTCTGTTCACTTGTCGACGTGTTTATCTTACTACGGATTAGATGCTCATAAATCCAGTAACACACAGAACCAAATTGTCTACTTACGATGGGTCTTTGTAAGTGTCCCAAGCGCAAAGTGACCAATCTGTTTTGTTTTGAGCACAGAGTCAACGTATGTGAGCATTGTTTGGTTGCAAACCACGGGAAGGTAAGCTAGAGTAACTTTACTAACTCAGTAAAATCATTCACTTGCCTAAATACACAATTAAAGAAATATTCTTGTTTTTTTTTTTTCCTCGTTGTCTTTCACTTTCACATCCCGATAGAGATTAATCCAACAAGGAACTTAGGAAAAGCTCTATGTGGTCTTTCATGGTTGATATAGTGATATACTGGCATCTCACTCACACAAAATCCAGCCTTCCTACCTTACTCAGTAAATTACTGAACCCTCTTAATCTTATCGTCTGCTATGACCTGCAATACATAGTTAACGTAGGCGATGGTACTATTGATTGCATCCAATACGGACTTCTGTAATACAAAGCAACAACCCCCCACCACCAACCCCCCTCAAAAAAAAAAAAAAAACTATGTCTACATTTAACTAAAATAATAACATTATTTTTAATTTTAGTTGACAGTTAACTGTTAACTCCAAATAGAAAACTTTACTAACTATGGTTGTCCCTTGTTTTGTTGTGCACATATTTTCACTCCTATAATCTATGACATTTTCCATATGCTGATGGATGTTTTATGAATTTTATTCATATTGTGAAAATGACAAATTTGTATCTATACAATATATGCCTGCATCCAATAGGGACATTTGTATTGGATTCATGGCATGGAAAGTGGTTAGTCAGTTTTTTTTTTCTTTTAAAATATAAAGTTAAAGCATATTATAATTATCAGAGACTTTCACACAGCTCCAGACACAAACAGCTTGCCCTTTGGCATGCTTATTCAAAATATATTTCTTCATCTGCCTTTCTAGCCCCCAATGGAGGATAGGCCCTCAACCAGCTTACGCCAGGTCGTTCAATCCTTTGCTATCGCATACAGCTCTCCCCATGTCCTATCCATCTTTCTAACTTCATTCTCCAGCCCCCTTTTCTATGTGTTTTTTGCCTTCCTTTATTCTCATGCCCCTGTGGGTTCCAATGCAAAGTCGTTCTAGTTATATTGTTCTCCGGTTTTCTCAGTGTATGTCCTATCTTTTCTTCACCTTGGTCCACTGGAGCTTGCTTAGTTCTCTCCCAAAGCTCTACATTAGTGATTTTATCATACCATTTAATTCCCTCTATTCTCTGCAGGCACCAGTTAATGAATATCTTTAGTTTATTAGTAACTGCCTATTTGTTCTATCCTTTTCAGCCCCATACAAAAGTACTGATTTGACATTAGAATTAACAATTTCAAGTTTAGTATTTCTTTTAATTCCTTTTGACCTCCACAAATTCCCTAGTGCTATGAAAGCTCCTCTTGCCTTTTGTATTCTTATTTTAATGTCTCTAGCAATTCCCCTCCCTATCTACATTACTGCCCACATAGGTGTACGACTCCACATCTTGGAGTGGGGTGCCATTAAGAGAAACCACATTACTATTTTTCTTGTTTTTTCTCATTATCTTTGTCTGTCCTTTATGGATTTTCAGACCTAGACAAATTATAATGTAAGCTGACAAAAATGTGATGCTGATTTATTTCCCAGGAAATGAGGTGGAAATTACTAAATTTTTTTCTTTTAATGGCAATAATCCCTTAGCAACTATATATTATTGCAGTTGGGACAGTGAGACTTAACTGTAGATGGATTTCTCAAATATATATGATGCACTATAGGCCTAATATATAATATAAAAATGGCAATTTTTAAATAAGCCCTTTATGGTAGTGATCTAAACAGGTTTAAAGTAAAAAAAAAAAAAAGAATTTCCACATCAATGCCCTTGGATTTACCCTACATGGCTTGATCTGTTTCCTCACAAGGCTAGCCACCTCTCAAGAATGATGCACAAAGCACAACCTCTAAATCTCTACGATACCCAGAGAGCCTACAACTTTCAGGTCATTAGGCAAATGACAACTACTTATCCACTATATGTTTAGCTTTTACGCTGTAGTATTAACTTGTTTGTAAATATTTAAATTAAGCACTTTGTAAAGTGTGTTAAGCATTTTGGATGTTATCTGACTTACAGTAATTAGAAATTACACATCATATAAATGTTATTGTATTCAAAAATGGATATACATTGTCACTGTGCACTCTGTATTCAAAAATGGATATACAGTGGAACCTCGCTTTACAAGCATAATTCGTTCCAGAATCATACTCGTTAAGCGAAACACTCGTTATGCGAAACAATTTTTCTCATATAAATTAATGTAAAATACGATAATGCGTTTCATGTCGAAAAAACAATACTCACAAAATGCTATGTATAACATTTATTCAAAGAAAATTATGTACATATTGTTAAGGAGAGTGAATCGTCTTCATCTTTTCTTCAAACACGGAACAAACCCCCCTGGAATGCGATTTCGATTTGCAGAAAAAAAGTCAAAATAATTATGATATATAGCTAATTATTAATTAATTTTTTTAACTAGAAAGATGTCCAGACATTTGTTTTTGCAGACGCTTTAAAATTTGGCGAACATGCGACACAGCCTTATCATTAAATAAATTTGCAGCACGCAAAGCCGTTTCCTTATTAGGGTGATGCTTCTCGATGTAAGATGCAACAGTTTCCCATAATTTCTCTTATTTTGCCAGAAGATGTTGCTTTTTTGTTACCTCCACCTCCTCCTCTGACAAACTTTCCTCCAAAACTTCTTGCTGTGAAACACAATGCAACCCCATAAGCTCTTCGGTGGTCAGTTCTTGGCTGTGCTCTTCCACAAGCTCGTCGATATCACTGTTTACCACCTCCAGTCCCATGATAGTGGCCAAAGACACAATCTCGTTGACTACAGGTTCCACAGATACTGTCTAGAAACCCTCAAAGTCACATTCTTCAACGCTGTCTGGCCAAAGCTTCTTCCAGCCAGAAGTTGGGATTCTCTTGGTAACCCCTTCCCACGTCTTGCCGATCATCCTGTGGCAGGCAACGATGTGGAAGTGATTTTTCCAAAACTCTCTGAGAGTGAAGTTGATCCCTTCGGTCACCTGAACAAAATGCTAGAAGAGTGCTTTAGTGTAGAGTTTCTTAAAGTTAGAAATAACTTGCTGGTCCATGGGCTGGAGTAACGGAGTGGTGTTGGGAGGCAGGAATTCGATCCTGATGAACTTAAATTCTTCAGGGAGGTAATCTTGTAGGCCTGGAGAATTCATGTACATATATCACAAAATAACACAAATTTGAGAAAATGTGATCACAAGCGACACTACGATACTACTGGAACAAGTGCTAAACGCAGACTGATAAAACATGCGCACAATCCGTGACTTCCCCTCTCCTCGTCACTCGCTATGCGAAACGTCGCTCATTAAGCAAGTCATTTGTTTACAATCTGTTTTGCTCGTTAAGCTAGGTACTACTGTACATTGTCAACGTTGCACACCTATGGATTAGCTGCTCTTTATCGATGAGTGGTATGTTGTAGATTTTTTTAAAGTAACGTGTATAACAGTAGTATTTTACTGTACTTTTAAAATTTTATTACTAAAAATGCTCTGCCAGTGTGGCCTTACAGTTGAAATTCATGAACAAGGCTGGAGGTGCTGAGGTGAAAAAATTTAGATGATTCTGTAAACTTGAAGCAGTGGCAGATGCATGCAGAATTGCAACACTGGTTGTTGATTTAATAAAATAATAGCTCATTGCTATTTTTGGAAGCAGTTTGAGTTACTTAAAAGCTCAAAAAAGTGTGGCCATAATGGCAGAAATTCATTATCAAGATTTGTGGGTGCTCAGGTAAAAATATCTGCAACAGAAATTCTGTAAACTTTAAATAATGACAAATGTGTGAACAAATGCTACAATCGTTGTGTATTTAAAAAACAAAATAACTCACATAATATTAATAATTTGATAAGCAAATTAATTTCTTTTAAAAAAGTCTGAAAATGGGACCATGATGAGTGTGAATGGCATACATACCACAGCAGACTTATGGGAAAACAACATTTAAATGTTTTAAATCAGATCAGACTATGAAATAAAATCATAAATTAATAATATAATTATTTGTAGAATATTAATTTATGATTTTAATTTTTTAAATTTAATTATTTGTAGAAGTGAAATTTGTACTTCCTGCAACTAAACCACCAGCGTGTAATGATTTATTAATTTTAAAGTAGAAATGGATCAAACAGTCCGTCTGGCACAGACTGTTGGATTTGAAGCAATGACAGTGATACCACTAAAACATGTTTTTTAAACACTTTCTATAAGCCAGTCCTTGTGAAATGTCCAATACTTATGAGAAGGTGAACGTAGAATAAAAAAAAAAAACAACACGCACACACACAAATTGTGGTAATCTAGCTAATTTAGAAGATATTTACACACTTACTTTCCGTAAATACACTGCGTGCTGTCATACAAAATTATTGTTCATGCGCCAAAACCAAAATGTGTCAGCCTGGCATCTCTGCAGTAACTGCCAATAATTGTCTAGATATGATTTATCCATGCTCCCTCTGTTTTCACGGTGGCGATGAGTTCGTGCATACATGATGGGAAGTTGCAGTCTAATGGCCGCCTAGTGTCTATAGTGATTTGCATAGCTATTTTTATCTTCTTCAAATGGCATTTATATTATGAGAGACACTTTCCTGCCAAAATGCTCACAAATAGTTAAATCCCTACAGAACATTCTGCTTACAAAATCAAGGGTGCACTAAACAAATTTACATAAACACTACTCAACATTATTCTTCATAGCATCTACCAGCTGTTAAACTCCAGAGGAAAGTTCTGGTTGATTGTCCTCTCTTGGGCTTTGCTCTTGATCCAGAACTTAATTTTTGCACTCATCTCCGTTTTACTTCGTGATGCCGGGATGATGGGTTCGATCCCGGCTGCGGGCCATGCGCCTTGCGTTGGTTTTAACAGTGGTATCAAGAAAGCTGACCGTCCAGAAAGCAATGACAAACTACTGGGCGTAAATTTGCTAGAAAAACCACACAACAGACAGAGGCTGTTGAGGTTGGTTCTGCAACGTCCTGTAAAGGATACACAACTAACCTCCGTTTTACAGATATGGCTTGTTTGTATGCAAACTGATGGTTCTTTGCCTCCCCGACTTTGAAGGAAACAACTTTAATTAGTCACCACCTATGACGTTCTTGTTGAAAGAGGCAGTGGGTCTATTCTTTGTTCTCCAAAATAGAGCCCCAGAACTTTCATAGGGAGGAAAATTATTTACACATATGAAGCAATAATTACAGCTTAGCTTCAGTGATGCGTAGCCCTTTCAGTGTCACCTGGTTTATCATCAGGGAACCAGAAGACATATTGACATTTCACAGATGGAAACATCAGTGCACAGATTTTTAAGTATGTCATCTCTCACCAGTTTCTCTCATGAGTTATTGTCTTCTTCTGTGTTTATCCAAGGATGTATTGTGTTATTCCCATTTACAGCATGGCTATGATTTTTGCATCTTTCGGCGAACATAATTTCTTAAGGCATTTGTTGCCCAGGCTAGCCTTTTTTGGAGTCACTGATATGAGGTCTAAATGTTACTAAGGGGCAGTAATGTGAGCAATCAGAATTTTTTTTTTTTTTCAGTGTATTGTGAAATCCTATCTGCAATGGTTGCAAGACAGTGACTACAGCCCCTTGTGTACTCTCTGTCACCAAAATCTGGCAGATGAAGAATATGGTGAATGTGTCAGGTTGTCATGTTATGGTAAGAAACTCATTCTCTACTAAGTACATAAGTACGTAAGTTTTACATTTATTGATTACACCACACATGGTATTACACCAGACATGGTATTACACCACACATGGTATACTTGTTGTCCTTTTATCTAAGGCCTTTGTAGCACTAACCACTTCTATTATTAAATTTAACTCTTTCAGTCCTGTAGAATTATTATTGTAACACCAGTTCCTTGTGATGTCGACATTCAGTACAATATTCAATTTTTTTTCTAGTGTTCTTTTCATATGTATGTTTGGCATATCAGGTTCATCAACAATACATGCTACTTTCTGAGTAAGCAAGTTTATGGCACAACAGCAGTGCAAGGTAAGTCAGTGTTTGAACAGCTGCACCACATTTGCACATGTGTATGTCTGCATATTTGCTCTTATATCTTCCCACACATTTTGTTTTGTGTTATTTTGGATTTTAGCATTTTATCCCCAATTAAATATTTCAGATTTATATCCAGATTAATAACATTTTACAAGGACGTCTGTTTATGGAATATTCCTCTTGATCTCTTGGTAGTGAACCACATGATCCTCAGATATGGGTGAGAAAGAGGAAATCATATTTGCAAATAGCACACATTAAAAGTCTTATTATGCCTGTTATGCAACCTAAATGTCAAAAGGAGAAAAATGACCAGCAACTGCATGTGCATGTTGGTTAAAGAAAAGGAGTTGGCTTCTGTCAGGCTTTGTAATTGTCCATAGAGAAGTGCAGTCTCTGTGATGTGGGTGGCCTAGTGTCTTTCTGTGCTATGGGAGAACTTGGTTAATTACTACTCGGAACCCATAAGCCAGACAGTGAAAATGGATTACAGATCAGTATAAAATAGAAATGCATTGAAGACAACAATAATGGATCATGCAGATGTAACACTAAAAACAAAAATAAAGTAACAGAACAGTTTACCTATTTAGGTAGTAATGTGAAAGTCAAGGAAACACAAAGAAGGAAATAAGTTAACACATTGGCAAGACATCCACACTTTAAAAGCTAGAACAAAATATGGAGCTTTAAATTATATAGCAACAGATAAGATCACTGCAAAAACAATATGGGGGAAAACATAGCTAAGAATTTCTTCGCATCCTTTCCTCAATGGAGAAATGATATCATCCCATAAAGTGATACATTTTGTAGAGGATGGTGCTGTAGGAAAGCATGATTACTCCCTCTAATTGATAAGGCACTTGATGATGATAATGAATAACTCAGGACCTCACTTAATGAATGAGTCAGGACATCACTACACTCGGGACATTCCCACATGTGCTCTGTCCCATTACTCAGTAGCAGGTAAAGAGTTTCCATGTTTATAGTGCCAGTGGCATCCAGATTGAAGGTGGGCATCTGTGTTTCCCCTACACATTGAGTATCACACAGATCTTTTGCTCACACCTTGCTGATGCTTCTAGCACCAGGTGTTGGAAGGATATTGACCTTTGAAGATGATATATATGCAGGAAGCGATAGTCATCAGAGAGATCAAGAGTTACAGGCAACTGTCAGTGAAGTGATTGACTGGTGTGTAGAAGTTGGTGCTGACAGCTGTACTGAACCCAGAAAAGGCGGCTGTATTATAGTGCTCTTTTCACAATATAATTATTAGAACGGATGTCCCAGGCCTCTCATTTAACAACAGAAACATCAAAAGAGAAAGCAGCCTAAGATACCTGGGTGTACTTTTGATAGAAGCTTGTCTTCAAGGGACCACGTGGAGACAGTTGGGGAAAAATACCTAAAAAGGAATCTGCACTCAAGATTATGGCAGCAGTGGACATGGAACAAAGAATACTGTTCAGTCTTTTAGCACTTGATCATCTTGGTGATAGATTATTTACTTGGAATGCTCACTGTATCTAAGAGTTAGTAAAAAAAAACTCTCTTTTGCTGCTGTATCCACTGGATCCCAAAGAGCTTTCATCCCATCACATCTGCTGAAAGACTCTTATCATAAAGTAGATCACTGCACAGAGGATTAGTAGCATCAAGTATGTAAGCCTGCCCGCATCCTTTGGACATAAAATTCAAGGTGTGTTCCTAATCTAAGGTTTGCCACATGCGAAGTACTCTATGGTCATGGTATGCAGTAAATAAACTGTATCTTTCTTATTTACAGATGTATTTCACTGGACCTGTTTGAATCAGTATGCCCAGAGACTGCCAGCACAAACAGCACCTGCAGGCTATACGTGTCCACTGTGTAGTTCTTGTATATTCCCACAAGCCAACCTGGTCTCTCCTGTAGCAGACTCCCTGCGTGCATTACTGCAGCAGGTAAACTGGGCCCGTGCAGGACTGGGTTTGCCTTTGGTGAGTTCCTGTAGCTGATTCAGTGACATTTTGTTTAAAGCTTATTGGTAACTTCTGTAACAATTTGTTTTGCATGTTCCTGTATCCTCATTATCTTTTAACTGGAGGATTTTTAAGTTTTCTTCGTATCTGTCTCAGTGTTGTGACCTGTCTAATACTTAATCATATGTTGTGCTAGACAAGTCACATGTTGTGACCTGTCTAGTGCTCTGTTGTATGTGGTGACCTGTCTAGTGCTGTATCATATGTGTTGTCCTGTCTAATGTTGTATCACATATGGTGACCTCTCTAGTGCTGTATCACATGTTGTTACCTGTCTAATGCTTAATCATATGTTGTGCTAGACAAGTTACATGTTGTGACGTGTCTAGTGCTGTATCATATGTGTTGTCCTGTCTAATGTTGTATTACAAATGGTGACCTGCCTAGTGGTGTATCACATGTTGTTACCTGTTTAGTGTTCTCTTGTATGTGGTGACATGTCTAGTGCTCTGTCATATGTGGTGACCAGTGCTGTATCACATGTCTAGTGTTCACTTGTATGTGGTGACGTGTCCAGTGCTCTGTCCTATATAGTGACCTGCATAGTGCTATATTATATATTGTGACCTGTCTAGTGCTAAAGCACATGTAGTGATCTGCCTATTATTATATCATATGTTGTAACTTGTATAGTGCTGTATCATATGTTGTAACCTGTCTAGTGCTAAAGCACATGTGATGACTGTCTAGTGCTCTGTCGTATGTGGTAACCTGTCTAGTGCTAAACCACATGTGGTGATCTGTCGAGCATTGTATCATATGTTGTGACCTGTCTAGTGCTGTATCATATGGTATTACATGCTGTGACCTATCTGGTGCTTGAGGCCATATATGGTCAAGAAAATAACATGTGGGTCAGGCTGGCAATTTTTGGAAAAGGTAATTTTTACACACTTTAGTACATCTTCTGTCAGATTCAGTACTTGTTTTTGTCTGAAAATGTTTCTGGCATACATCTCTTTCATTTGCCCCGTAACGTTCTGGAAACTTCCATTCATGAGGGTAAACATGCCCTTCAGTCAGATGTGGTTTCCACAGTAAAGGTTGGCTTCACTGGATCTTCAGCACGCTCTGTCTCTTGTCCTGGTTGTACACTTTATCAGTCTGCTGCTTGTCCATCTCTTGATAGTGTCTACCTATTGCTTGCTGCATTAGAGCAGTCGATAGGAGACTTGCTTTCAAATCCAGCTGTGACTCGTTGCAGCCCATAGTTGGTGTTTGAAACCGGACGGTTCTCGGAGGTCACCCAGTCTCTAGGTAATGTCGCAGTTAACATATAACCAGATTGTGACCGATTCAGTGAATGAAACGAACACATAGCTGATGTCAAACGTTTATTTGTTCACACAGCTGTCTCCAAGTCATTTTCAGTGCACACTGAGCTAACAGTCTTGGGATGACTGCAACTCAACAACTGATAGCAAATATGTAAACATAGCAAATAATTACCTTCATAACAAAAATGCTCATGAACAATCCCATGGTGACAGTTTGATAAGGACAATCTTCTACGCAGCAAAAACACAAATGTCCAACCGTGACCAGAATTGTCAAAGCGAATGGTTAGTTGGGTCTTCTTCTCAAATCTAGCTCAGTCATCCACTTGTAACTTGATTTACTCAATGAAAACTTTCTCCGCCAACAAACACATCGCTCTTCAATTTTGAACATGACTGAAACAAAACCGATCATTCTAGATCCTTCTCAGCTTAAGTAATCTTTCTTCTCTCTTCTTCTGCCTTTTTATCCCCCAATAGAGCATAGGCCCTCAACCAACTCACGCCAAGTCGTTCTATCCTTCGCCATTACATGGAGCTCTCCCCATGTCCTCCCAATCTTTCTAACCTCATTCTCCAGCTCTCTTCTCCATGTGTTTTTTGGCCTTCCTTTATTCCTATGCCCCTGTGGGTTCCAATGCAAAGACATTCTAGTTATGCTGTTCTCCTGTTTTCTCAGTGTGTGCCCTATCCAACGCCAGCGTCTTTTCCTCACCTCCTGATCCTCTGGAGCCTGTTTAGTTCTCTCCCAAAGTTCTACATTAGTTATTCTATCATACCATTTTATTCCCTCTATTCTGCGCAGGCACCAGTTAATGAATGTCTGTAATTTATTAGTAATTGCCTTCGTTGTTCTCCATGTTTCCGCCCCATACAGTAGTACTGATTTGACATTAAAATAAAAAATTTTTTAGTTTAGTATTTCTTTTAATTTCTTTTGACCTCCACAAATTCCCTAGTGCAATGAAAGCCCCTCTTGCCTTTTGTATTCTTATTTTAATATCTCAATCAGTTCCTCCATCTTTATCTACATTACTGCCCAAATAGGTGTACGACTCCACGTCTTGGAGTGGGGTGCCATTAAGAGAAACCACATTACTATTTGCCTGATTTATTCTCATTATCTTTGTCTTTCCTTTATGGATTTTCAGACCAAGCTGCTGTGATCTCGCATTAAGTATATTTAATTTATCTTGTATCTGATTCCGTGAATGGGACAGAAGGGCAATATCATCAGCGAAGTCCAGATCATCAAGCTGTTTTGTAGGGGTCCACTGAATTCCATTCTTGGTGTTAGCAGTTACTGTTTTCATAGTCCAGTCTATAGCCAGTAAAAATAGGAGAGGCGACAAAAGACATCCCAGTCGCACACCTGTTTTTATTTCAAATGCATCTGTTAGATTTTCCTCATGAAGAACTCGACATTTCATGTCTTTATATGTTGCCTTTACTAAGTTGATAATTTTCTGTGGGATTCCATAGTGCTCCAGAGAGATTCCCTATCAATGCTGTCAAATGCTTTTTCATAGTCTATAAATCCAATGTAAAGTGGTGAGTTCAGTTCAATGCTTTGCTCTATTATAATACGTAATGTGGCTATCTGATCAGTACAGGATCTGTTTGACCGAAAACCTGCCTGCTCATCTCTTAGCATTTTATCAATAGCATCTTTTAATCTTTCCAAAATAATTATACTTAATATTTTTCCAGGAACCGACAGCAACATAATTCCTCTATAGTTTTCACACTCCTGTAGATCACCTTTTTTGGGCAGTTTCACAAGATATCCTTCTCTCCAGTCTGCTGGTATTTCTTCGGTCTCCCAGACTTTACTGAATAATCTATGTAGCGATTCTGTTAATGTGTTTATGTTGGTCCTGATGGCTTCAGCTGGGATACCATCTGGGCCTGACGCCTTTCCTTCCTTAAGAAGATTTATAGCTTTTCTAATTTTCTCTTTGGATGGTATCTCACAGTTGATATCCAGTTCAATTTCTAAAGGCTGGATATCTGGGGGAACCTCTGGGCCTGGTCTATTTAGAAAGTAATCTTTCACTGCCATGTATTTTCTCTCTGATTCAATTCACATATAAATGCTTTCTCTCATTTGGCATGGTTTAGACAATTCACCCTGTTTGGCTCATATTTTCCATGGAGCACCCACTTCATTGATTTTGTTCACTGAGCTTAGGTTCATAATTTATGTTGAACATCTGACTTCATTATGAATGGGAACATAAATTATCCGTGAGAAAATGCCTCCTTACAGCAGGTCAGAAGAATTCTTAGTTCGCTATATATGGGGTTGAATGGGACTTGTCAGAAGCAAGTTAAAGAATTTAACTATCTTGGAAGTATATTCTTGGAGGATGGCAGATTATATCAGGAAATAGAAACAAGACAGACACCAGCAAGTCAATGCACCTATTTACCAACTGACACCATTATTTAGACATCCAAGCATAAGTAGGAGCACCAAGAAACATCATAAACATCATATTCATATCTCAACGCTGTACTACCAGTGCCAGAATTTGACTTAATTGAAGGCTTACCTACGTATAATTTACAGCTGTGAAATGAGATGCCTGAGAAAAGCTGCCAACTTGACCATCCGAGAGATATAAATATTATCAGACAGACTATAGGAATACCACTATGCAGCACAGTCATTGAGAAACAGGATCCGATGGTTTGGTCATCTAATAAGCTGCATAGTAAAAGGTCTGAAGTGAACGCAAAAGACCGCCCTAGAAGAAAATAGAATTATGACATTAAAGATCTTATTCATCAACACAGAATGACAGTAGCCATCCCTGTGCATCAAGCAATGGATCACAGACTTTTCCTGCCCATGGAGATTGATCAGGATGATGATGTTACTTAGTGTTATTATTGTTGATAAATTCTGGTATAATTAGAGCACATTTCGGCATTTGTAATTATTAATACGTAGATCTTGTTGATGTTAATTATTATCTGATTATTGCTGTTTGAATGGAATAATGCATGTTAGGAATGAGATTAGAGAGGAAGAATCTAATATGTGTGTCCAGTTTTAAGCCTATGAAAATAAAAATCAGTCTATTTTATCTGTACTTTATTTCTGATCCTGCTTTGACACTTTAACCTGTCAGTTTTGCAACTCCTTATGCTACTTATATAATCCACCATTTTATTATGTTTTGAACAAACACTGGATAAAGATAGTATTTCAGCAATTACATTGATTTTTCAGATTGAAGAAAAAGCCCCTCCACCTCCTCCCCTGCAACCAAAATCGGTACCAGTTGTCAATGGAGCTGCAGGCCCTTTGAGATCAGATACATCCTTAGGGACATCCTTGGGTTATGCTCCAGGACTTGGAACATCTCCAGCTCCTCAAAGCCTTGCTGCTAGTGGCAGCAGCCATAATGTAGGGACCACTGGCTCCAGACCAAGTGCTCAGGTAGCTCCATACTCAGCCACGCCCATGGGTGGTGCCTTCTCACAGCACAGTGTGATTAGTGTGGATGAAGGCACCAGCGCAAGAGGACAAGATAGAGGGGCCACCTTTTCAAGTATGTTTGAATCTCACTCCATACCAAACAAATTGTAATATTATTTTCAGTTACTCCTTGCATGACTCAATAGTGGCAGTTATCTTGGGTCTTTTTTTCCTCACTGTATTACATTAATCAGTAACTCACTGCTCGACTAAATAATAGTGAATTTTTTTAATCAGTCTATTTTTTTATTATGTTCCCCCTGACAGCGCTTAACGGCAGAAGTGGAAATTGATGACGATGATGATTTATTAACAAATAATACATTATTTAGTTGTATACAGCTCAGCTAAATAGTGATAGCTTTCTTGAATCTTTCTTGCAAGAACATGTAAAACAACCGGTTACTGCTTGTAATTTTGCTTTTTTTTTTGGATCATTCTATCAAGATTATGTAATGTCTTAGTTACACACTACTTGACTAAATTGTACTTTCCATCCTCTTGTGGATTCTGGTTATTAAAAAAAATGAATGGTTACTCTGTTCACCATCACAGGGTCTTTTTAACTGCCTTGTGTATTGCCTATTATCAAAGAAAGAATCTCACCCTGCTACATAAGGCATAATAAAGAAACGGGAAGTGTAAATTCTTTTTTATTGAGATGACATCACTTAAAGCAGAAAAGTTGACTTCAATTGTTGACACATGTGGTTTCTGTTATTCACTTTCTTGCCCCCCCCCCCCCCCCCCCCCAGTGTTTGCCATTTTGTGGAGAAAATCAGATTATTGGGTCAGCACAAAATAGTAACTATTTAGGTATACTAAAGCTGCCGAGTTTCTATATTAAATAGCAATGAATGTTCGACAGAGGTCAAAAGGAGGATGGCTATAGCAGTGCAAAGATTAAACAGCACCAAACCTCTACGGTTAAGCACAAGCAAGGAAATCAAAATTTAAATTTTGAATGCATGCATCTTCCCAGTAGCGACATACAGATGTAAGTCGTGGACTATCTCCCAGTCCTTAAGAAAGAAAATAGGGGCATTTGAGCTGTAATGCTTTAGAAAGATTCTGAGAATACCATGAACCAAGAAGAGGAGAAATACTGACATTTTAACAGATCTGAACATCAGGAAAGACTTGCTAATAAACAGCATCTTGTTTCGGAAGCTGAAATATTTTGGTCATATCAAATGCCATGAAGGATTGGAAAAAATAATAGCAGACGGCATGGTACCAGAAAGGATTGGCAGGGGCCGAACAACACAAAGATGGGCACAGGATATAAGTGACTATTTGAATGTGAAAGTACACGAGGCAAGTGAGCTGTGAGAGACCGAGTTTCTTTCAGGCAGACCGCGATGAGAGCGACGTTCTGCAAAGGACCTGCTACATGATAAATTTTTTGAATTAATGGGGCAGTAGGTTATTTGTACTTTCCTTATAAAAGTAAAGGCATCAAAGTGTTATTCAGTAGGTGTAGATTCCACTTCAGACATCTGACATTCAGATCAGTTGACATTTACTACCCGATACATTTAAGGCTGTGAAACATTCCTTGATGTTCATCAGCATCTTTTCTCATAGAGCAAAGAATCTAACAGACACTGTTGTGTATTTTCCTAATGAGATCAACATTCCTCTATGAAACTGCTGTGGTCATTGATAAGATAATGACTCAGATATGTATGGACTGTATGCTGGATTGCAGGTGGGGGGGGAGGGGGGGGGGCACCGGCACCTGGAAGAAATCTTTCTCCTACTTCTTTGGAATGACATGCTAGAACAGAAAATATGAAGAAAAAAAAAAAGGCTAGATCCTGCAATAAAACGCTGTGAACATATTTGTTGCCACAAATTCTCTTAAGTCTTTGAAAAACCTATTTCCAGGAAATCTGTTTTCTTTCTTCGATGAATTGAAACCACTGCTTCGGTGGACATTGTATATGTGAGGTAGGGATTGATCAGCACAACAGTGGGTGCAGGACATGAGTTTTATACAAAGCAGGGGAACCATTGAAAAGTGATGAAGTCAGAATATATGGAAAGCTGCATAGGTGTATTCTTCAGATTATGTATTTGCTCTTAAAATGGCAGATAATATGTTAAATTGTGATTAACAGCTTCTTTTGTTTTCTCACTGATGCCAGGTTTGTAGCCCGGGTCATGGTTTTCTGTATTGGTCTTGCTCTTCTTGGGTGGCTTGAGTGATGGATTTGTTCATTTTATGCAGGTTTCAGCTACACCATGTATCCATCTCTTTCTGGGTCTTCCCCTTCCCCTCCTCCCAGATGTTCTACAGTATAAGGTCTCATATGCAGTCTGGTCTGGCTGCATTCTCATCAGATGACCGAACTATTCATTCTTTGTCAGTATAATCTAGACATGGTCCAGTTGCAACTATGTCTGTAATGCTGGTATTCCTAACTCTGTCTCGTCTGGTGTTGTTAGTGACCTTGCGGAGACGGACATGTAATTTTCTTTTCTAGTGCCCTATTCATTGTCCATGTTTGGCACTGATAACATAAAGTAGGGGTAAAGGTGCTATTAATCATTTGCTGTTTTTCTGGAAGGGTCAGATTTGGGTATCTAAGCAATAGAACTAACTGGTAGATGACCGTATTCGCCTTCTGTACTCTGGCATCTATCCCTCTGATCAGTCTGCCATCCTCCGTGAACATGCTTCCTAGATATTTGAATTCTCATACTTGTTTGATTGTAGTACGATTAACATGAACATTCATGATATTATGTTTCCTGCCTATCCTCATTACCTCAGTTTTTGAGGTGTTTGTTCTCATTACATACTTTTTTCAGGCTTGATGTACGGGGTCAGTACAGTGTTTTAAATACTGTTCTTCGTGGTGTATTAGTCATTGATCGTCTGCACACACAAAAAAGAAGTTCGTTGATTTCTTCAGTGTCTGTATTTGTCTCCTGTGTTATTCTATCCATGCAAGTAATGAATAGCAATGGTAAGTGGGAAATTCCCTGTCTGACACTTGATAAGATGGGAAACTAGTCTTTCATTCCTTTTGTTCTTACTGTGTGCTGGCTATCTTTGTAAAAAGCCATGAATTTTCCATAGTTTGCATCTATTGACTCCATGGAATGCCTTCTCTTTATTACAGCTAAGCTGTCATGTCTACACCTCTCAGCCCAACACATCTGATTTCAACAAACTCCTAATTTTTGGGTCATGCTTGTTAATTATTCCACCCCACCCCCCCACCCCCCATAAAAAAAATGAGCCTTGAACCCACATGGGAAATATAAGGATATAATGTAATGTATTTTCACTTGCAGATCCCCGCAGACTGTTTGATACAACAAAAGAAGATGAGATATTTGGTGATGTTGCCAGGTCACAGGACCATGATGAAGACAAGTATAAAAGAAGACCAGCCTTGCAGTGGCTGGCTCGATGGTTCAAGTGAGTTGGATGTATTTTAATATGTTAACAAACACATAAAAGGGTTATTCTCATCACAATTATTATTATTTTTTAACCTAGTATCTATTGTCCACATGGGCTTGTCTGTTGGTCATTGGTCAGGAGGTCTTGGGTTTGAATCGACGTCAAAACAAACTTTTATAATTGACCTAGGTCTCCCAGGTTGACATGGACTGAACTGATTAGGGAAGCTACACTATGCACCATGGATGTAAAAAAAAAAAAAAATCCAACTTGGTAGTAACCTAGAGTGGTTCATACACTGTCAGATATGAGTTCAGGTCTTGGGTAAGACAAGTGGTCTTGTTTATCAGAAGTGCAAAACAAATTTAAGCTGGAACTCTTTGGTAAGAATCCTGGACAATTTTTAAACAAACCAAACTATTTCTTGAGGCCTCAGAGACATAGTTTTACAAAAACTTTAAATTGCTTTAAAAAAATTATCCAGATGTTTTGAAAAAGGTGAGGACTGTAGCAACAAATCACAAACATGAGAAGACGGTTGTCATTTTGTGGCCATGTTATGTTTGTTGTTTGTTTGTTTTAGTATCCAGTTGCTATGAGTTGTTAACCCTTAGGCTCGGTATTATGGATATCGCAACCTTTCGGCCTTGATTCCATTGAAAATACTGTAAATCTGGGAGAAAATGTGGCTTTTCTGCCTACCCCTGGGAGTGAACCCAGACCACAAGGAGTTTGTTACCCGGTCACCGCGCAATCCGGTTTAGCCAACTACACTAGAGAGCCGGGTGGCCATGTTATGAGAAGAGGGAACAAGAACATATTGTGACCACAGGAAAGATTTGTGGAAAGAGTCAGAGGAAGGTAATGTGAGAAGATACATGACAGGCTTTTGTCATGGCATAGAGGAGAGTCAAAACACAAATAAATGCTGTTGGAGATCACAGGTTATTATTAGGCATGGTCGCCTGTGCCACGTGGCAAGTTGATTATCATACTTTAGGGATGACTGGAGGTACATATAATTTATAACCTGACAACAGCTACAACACCTCTGATAGGCAGGGACATGTCACCATTTTTATCTCCTAGAGAAAAGACATAAGAAACGAAAAAAAAAAAAAAAAACACCCAAAGGTTTCATTTGTCTATTGTATGGGAAGAAAATATGGCAAGGGAGAGAACTGTTAACCTCGTCCCTTAAGGCCACTCCCATTTATATTTGAAATCTGGCCACTTTGTACCTATGTGTTAATAGCTGACATCTGAATAGCTTCATCTACCCGCTGCTGTCTTTAGCTTTTCTTTTGCCATAACTGTTGTTTATAAGCTTCCTTTCTCCTCTATCTCTTGTTGTGGTGATTACCTTTGTATCTGTACGTACTCAAGTATATATGTGTGTGCGTGCAAGTTTCATGATTTAAGCTTCCATTTATATGTGTATATGTTTGTGTGTGTGTGTGTGTATTAGAGTATATATATATATAAAAATATATATATATATTAGGGTTGTACCGAATATTCGCTTCTTATTCACTTAGGGGCCGAATAGTGGACCTATTGACTATTCAGTATTTGGCCGAATAGTTTCGGTCGGGCCGAATACGAATATTATTTACCTTACACCCGCTTCTGCATACACAGCCTTAATGCTGACAACATGGAACGATTGGTTTTGTTGAAAGCTAATGCAACTTTCCTGCATTAACTAAGCTGTCAGTGACAATTTCCAAGTTTACTTACTTGTTATAATACTTAGGATTCTTTCATTCCTAGTTATTAGTTACCACAGACTGACTGAAGGATGCAAAACATAAAATGTTTTTAAATGTTTGCTATTCTGTACGAATACTAACTAGACATGGAAAGAATTTAAATTCCGACCACATCCAAGTCGATAATATGAAAATCAAATGAACGGAAACATATAAGTACTTGGGTGCAAACTTCAACTGCTACAAAAGGCTGAGAGAAGAAATATAATCTAGAATACAATCTAGAAATAAAGTATACTATGCCCTTCAACATCTGCTAAAGTCAAAGTGTCTCTCGCAAAACTAAGATCAAAATATATGAAAAGTTGATAAGGCCAGTCGTTTTATATGGCTCTGAAACTTGAAGCAGAAATAAAAGAGATGAGGCCTCATTACAGGTTTTCGCAAACAGTCTTACGACAAATCTTTGGACCCATCGAAGATGCTGACAGTGGGCAATGGAGAGTGAGAAGCAACAACGTAACACATAATCTGTTAAAACACCATTGATCACTGGCATCATAAGAGCTAACAGACGAAAATGGTTGGGGCATATTGAAAGAATGTCAGATGACAGCGAAGTAAAAACTTTATACACCTGAGAGAGGAATGGGCGTAGACCACGAGGCAGACAAAAATGAAATTTGAGAGATAATGTCCAGCCAGGCTTGCAAACAACTGGTGTCACAAATTGTGAAGAGAAGGCCAGCCAGAGAGATGAATTGAGACGAGTGATATCTGCAGCAGTTAACCTAAAATGCTCAGAATGCTAAAGAAGAAAATGACTATTCTGTTCTACTTTATGTGAAGTAAAAGTTTAGCGTACATTTGACATTATGAATGTTTTGTTTTGTTAGATATATTTTAATACACTTTACACTATTCCTATTTGTATTCGGCCGAATTGTTGGTCCCGCTATTTGTGTTCGGCCAAATAGTGAAAATAACTATTCGGTACAGCCCTAATATATATATATATATATATATATATATATATATATAATATATATATATATATATATATAATATATATATATATATTATATATATATATATTAGGGCGGTACCGAATATTCTCTTCGTATTTGCTTCGGGGGGCCGAATAGTGGACCGAATGACTATTCGGTATTTTCGGCAAAATAGTTGCTGTCTGGCCGAATAGGAATAGTGGTGACCTTACACTCATTTTTGCATAAACTGAGATGGACTGAAATAATTCTCTCATTAACACAATAGTTGCTGTTGCCTAAGTTTGTAGTAGCGAGAAAACTGCGACCCGGTTGCGTGGTACAGCAGCTGGCAAGGTCTTGCCTGCTGACTCGACCGAGGCATTACAGCAAAGGTTCTTAAACTGGGTGCGTATGCCAGGGGTGCCGGGGCGAAAATCAAGAAAAGTCAGCTATAAATTGTAACGTTATTAAAGAAGACATAAAGATACTTGAGATACTTTCCTCACCACTGTCGAAAAGAGCACAGGCGACAGGCAATACCTGCATTTTATAAAATGAACATCTTATGCAATATATCTTTGCCATTGAAGGTTAGAAAAATAATTCTTGCTTGCTACTATTTGTCTCCTATTTTTCCAGTTTTAACATATGATTGTAAGTCCTAAACAATCGGTAGGAGGCCAAACAATTTCTCTAGGCTTCAGAGATGTAGTTTTACAGAACAATGCTTAAAATACCTTGAACAGCCAAAAAAAGCAACCAATAGATTTTGAAAGAGGCGGGAGCCCGAAGACAACTAATCACAGACATCAGAAGGAGACGGTCATCATTTTCCGGCCACGTTATGAGAAGAAGGAAAATGGAACATGTGATGACAACTAGAAAGATCTGTGGAAGGAGGGATAGAGGACGACAACGAGAGAACATTCTTGACAGTTTTGTTGCATGGAGGTGTGTCAGCACACAAACTAATACATGCTGTCGCAGATTGTGGCGAGGCATAATCGCCCACGTCAGCAAGGCAACACTGATGATGATACACTACACGAGTATTTGGTCCCACTATTCGAATTCACACTATGGTCGCAGTTACATATATATATATATATATATATATATATATATATATATATATATATATATATATATATATATATATATATATATATGTGTGTGTGTATCTATATATATATACATATTTGTATATATATATATATATATGTGTGTGTGTGTGTACACATATATGTTTGTGTGTGTGTATTAGAGTAGAGTGTTTACTTGCAGGAAATAGTCCAGGTTTCACCCATATTTTCAGTGACCACACAACCACAAGAGTTAGTATGGTTTATATTATACAAACCACCTTTACTCTAGTACCCATTTGTTTTTAACATGTGTCTCACTGATTGGAGTCAAATGTTAATCTTGTCACAACTAGAGATTGAACACATGACCATAATAAGTTCGAGAAGGCCACTGAGAGCTCATTCAGACCACTGTTAGGCTATGAAGAGTATTTAGAGTTCATAGAAACCACTGTAAGCTTATGAAGACCCCTGATTTCATAAAACCATTCTGAGTTTATAAAGATCATTGTAAACTGTTGAAAACCAGTAAAGTTTATGAAAGTCACTGTTAATTCACAAAGACCACTGTGAGCTCATGAAGACAGCTACAAGTTCATGAAGACAACTATAAGGTCTGAAGATATATATATATATATGTATGTCAGCTCATGAAGACAACTATAAGGTCTGAAGATATATATATATATGTATGTCAGCTCATGAAGACAGCTACAAGTTCATGAAGACAACTATAAGGTCTGAAGATATATATATATATGTATGTCAGCTCATGAAGACAGCTACAAGTTCATGAAGACAACTATAAGGTCTGAAGATATATATATATATGTATGTCAGTAAGACAGCTACAAGTTCATGAAGACAACTATAAGGTCTGAAGATATATTTATATAAAGATGTACTCATGAAAGGTTATGAAGACTATAACCAGATATTATATATGTAAAAACCTGTAATCTCATGAAGGTTGCTGTAATCCTGTATGTCGACTCACAGTCAGTTCATCAACTATAAGGTCTGAAGATATATATATATAGTATGTCAGCTCATTACAAGTTCATGAAGACCACATGTTCTTCATATAAGACTACTTTTAGCTCATTAAGATTTATGTTGATATGTTTTATTTATTATTTCAGCTCTGTAGATGGTAACAAACGTAAAGATCCTCATGCAGTAAAGAAACGGTTTGCTGTTGTGCTTCTGTTGGGCATCATTGGTTTCATCACTGTGGTGATTATTTTTGCCAAATTTGGGCGACAGGCAACAGAAGATGACCCTGTCTTTGACCCGCTGGCAAATCCTAACATCAGAGTGGAACAAAAAGCTGATTCTGTCCAGTAGCAGAAATTCACCTGATCATAAATACACAGTATGAGGCTTTCAGTGTTTTCATCAACTGGTAAAATATTCATATCCTATCCTGGGTTTATTGTTACATTAAGAGGTGGCACGAAAACATTGTCTTTATGTACGTATGAAACATTCAATTTCACATCATTACTTCATCAGGCAAATTATGTTAGACCTGTATGTCGACGGGCACTCAGTGGGTGATGTGATCAAGACTATGCTGGTTGTCTTTACTTCCCAGCACATTCCCTGGTACTTATTTGAGGCAGGCTTGACCTGGGAGCTCTCTCGAAATTAAAAAAAATTCCTCTGAGTGAATCTGAACCCAAGACCTTCAGGCTTGCAGGCATGCTGGATTCTGTCACTGTCCTACCACAGATCCCATATATTTATGTACAGATTGTATTTATGGGCATCAGCATTCACATATTGAGACTGCATACATGCGATTTATGGGCATATACCAAAGTATATTTGTCTGTGAATTTTGTAAACCATTTGCAATAGCAACACTGTACAAATGCATGTTTTGATTTTCTTTAACTTCGCCATTTTGCTTTCCCACTTAAACTAGTGAACTGAGAGAGAAATTATTTTTTAAATTACCTACTGCATGCTGGTGTTTTGACACCAAAGGACTCAGAGATCTACTAATCGAATACTAAAACTGCAGGCAGGCACAAATCCTAGACTCAGTTTAACCATATAAAGCAGTTGTACTTGTTCACCTTACAGTTACACACACAAAAAACATAACCCGCCATCCTGTAAAGGTGGAGATATGTCTTGTAGAATGTGGGAGAATTTTGAAACACAGAAAGTGGTCAACTGTAAATAGCACTTGAAGACTTGGTGATGAAAGCATTCTTGGTCCACAGTTGCTATTACATTTTAAGTAGAAAGGAAAATAACTGATACTAGTTTTCATTTGAACATGTTGTTTCGTGTATATTCTCATAGACAGAACAGAAATATGTTACTTTATGTGTTTCTTCTTATCTCTCTTGATTTCTGTGACCATTTACCTGGAATTAACCCAGCCTTTATATTTAATTGCCTTGTCTGACTGCAGCCTCTCTGATCTCATACCTTGAACTTACTGTGTGCTGTTTTATGTCATTCATTCTGACACTTGTCATATAGCACAGCTGTAGTCATCTTACCTGTGCTGTAGTAATATATGGCTGTAACTTTGTGTATTTGTAAATATCCATAGAACAGCTTTGCACTGTGCTTTAACTTATTGTAACAAAGATAGCTAAGTTTATAGTTTTGTTTTGTTTTCACTTTTAAATAATAAATCTAATCACACAGTAGACATTTTCTAACTGGTATTTGCAATCTCGTTTTGTTAACCTTATTTGAAATTTAAGTTACTTTTTTTATGTGTGTGTGTGAATTGTTGTAGAGAGTTAATGCTTTTGGTGTCAGCAAGAGATGAATGGGATATACAGTAAACCCTCATTAATGCCGACTCACTTAACTCTTTCTGTACCAGATGTTTGTTACTTTCTAGCTCAGAGTTAATTACTTTAGAGCAAAATTCTCCGAGTCTTTTTTTTTTTAACTAGGCTGTAGAAATAAGGAACAGATAAGCTGATATAGCAACCTTGGTAGTAAGAGAGAGTGTACCAGAACTATCTGAAAGAAGGAGTCAGCTACTGTATGTGATGTATATAATAATCAGTAAATTTATTGTGTGTTTTCTGGTACTGAAACTACCTCACTAACATAAATAAAATTTAACTCTTGGCAGAAATGTATTATTTCTTGTAGTAATTTACATCAGTTTACACAATTTCCTCCACTGTGGATTTCAAACTATTTTTTTTTTTTTGTCCATTGCGTCACTAGATCTCATTTAAACAAAACTCCCAAATTGTTCATTATATTTTGTTTCTCCATCCTTCCCCTGCTAGGTATGTAATAAGTGAAGTTAAAAATTAACCATTGTCGAATTTATGTTATTTTGGTGCTTGAACTAGGAGTTATTGTTTTTAACATTAAAGTTTCTAGGTGCAATCACTTGACAGTGTCAACAGTAAAAAAATGTCAACAGTGAGCTTATATTTTAACCAGCTGATTCAGTTTAGTAATGTTATCGAATTACAGTGCAAATTCTATTCTTTAAAAGGTCATCAAGGAGAGGCATAGATCTGCAAAGAAAACTACAAATCCTAGAGGAAATAAACTGTAGAGCATCGAAGAAAATGACAATTGCTGAACAGTATGGATTTGCCAAGCCTACCTTATTGACAATACATTTAGATCATGCTGCATCATGTTCTGGAAACAATTCTAAGCGATCATAGTTCTTGAAAGAGAGTATTGAAACAGGACTCTAGAATGGTTCAACCATATGTACTCTTCCAGTCTGACTACCATATAATTCATTCAACAGCACATGAGGTTTCACTTGTTCCACTGGTTGGCTGTATCAGTTCCAAAAGAGACAGTCAGTTTAATAATTAGTTTTTTGTGATGAGGGGGCCTCACCACATAGTTTTCAAAAAGGAAATAGTGGTACATTAGCCAACCTTCTTTATGAAAATTCCTGGTTTACTTGAATTTAGTTTAACATGACCTCATTATTCAGTCCTTTTAGTCTGCATTTACGAGAGTTTACTGTATTTGTTGTTGTTGTTGTTGTTGCAAATTGTCTAAATCCTTCTTTTGCTCACAGTTGCAAATAGTAAATTATCAAGGCACTTGTTGACTGTGATATTGCAGAAAAGCCAAGGTGAAGAGTTACAATTATCAAGGGATAGTCCCTTTTTTCAACCCACAGAAACTTGTATGTGATATGTGTTCACCTCCATAAATAAAAGTAAACGACCATTTTTACTTAATGGACTATTGGGCATATGATGGGTTGGGTAGTCAAAAAGTAAGTCACAAATGGTTGTTTTAAAAAACAAAAACTAAAGACAATAACAACTTGAAAACCGTTTATTTTTACACATACACTGTTCCTTTATTTTTCAACATAATTTCCACTAACATTGATGCACTTGTTCCATGGGTTTATCAGTCCTCCCAAACCTGCTGCAAAGAACTGCCTGCTTTCTTTTTGTAAACCACATTTTCACTTCACATTTAACTCCTTTGCGAAATGTCTCCCGCCGAGGTGGGTTTTCAGTGGACCAAAAAGATACAAGTTGCAAGGGGCTGAGTCGGGGCTGTAAGGATGTTCCAGAAGTTCCCTCAGTTGTCACCTCTAATCATCTCCTCCATCCGCTGCATGGATGTGTCTGTTGCAATCTCAATATGACTACCAAAGTGCTCTTGAGAATTTTTTTTAACCCAGCTGTTCACCGCTTTAAGGGATAAACATTCATCAGCATTAGCAGGAAGCAATTCTTTATGAATGTCCTTTGCAGGCAGCCCCTTTGCTCTGTAGGAGCAGTCGCCATTTTGTTTCTATGTTGTGCATGCAACACCTAGCGCCACCAAATGAATGGAAACATCAAGTTTGATGTTGCTGTCACCTAATGACACCTTTAGAAACCACCAACTACATTTGCCTACCATCCCATAACCATTTGTGACTTATTTATTGACTTGCCTTCATACATTCAAGTTTTTATAGGCCCGTTGAGTTGATTTGAGTCAAGAATTGACATCACAGCACTTGGGGCATTCCCATATGCACTCTGTCTCCATCTTCAGCAGCCAGCGCAGAGTTCTAATACTAATGGTGCCGGTCATAGTCTGGTTGTATGTCCCGTCTTATAATTGCTCTGAGCGTAGTGTGCTGGCCGAACCCTCTGGTCACTCAGGTGCTTCATTCTCTCCAGCCTATAGTAATCTAGTTGCTCTTCTGACTTTATTTGTTCCCAAAGGGCTTTGACCACATCTGCTTGTCATGTATCAGTTCACCACCCAGCAGTGCAGATCCAGCCAGTATGTCTGTCTTTTTATTCCCCACTTTGCCGGCATAGCCTGGAAAAAAGAGCCAAAGTATGCTCACTACCCATGACCTTTGCAAGTGAAGCTTGCCACTCTGCTTGAAGCAGTCTTGTCTTGACCTCTTTTAGCATGCTTTCAGAGTCTGTTACACTTATGACATATGTATGTACCTTGTACTCTAGCCACCGGCAAGCTGCAGTGACTGCCTCCACCTCCATTCTTGATGGGCCATTTGACTAAATAAAGAGTGAGGTTAAAAGGATGGGAGAAGATTGGTTGAACTGCCTGCAACAGCAAAAGATAGGATGACTTGGTGTGAGTTGAGTGCCTAGGCTCCATTGAAGGATAAAGGGTAGGAAAAGAAGTAGCCTAGATCGATCTGTAGAATGGCTTGCACAGCAGTTACACTGGACATTGGCCAACTGCCGAGTAGTAAATCCCTGAAATATATGTCTAGATGCTAATGGTAACCACTTTGAGCAAAAATAACTTGCGCTTATCCCTTGATGTCTGAATAAATTTAGGATTACAATTTTTCTTTACTGTTTTTTTTTTCTCTTGCGAAAGTGTCGAATCATATTTTGTCTGATTCTGTATTTTTGCCGTTTTGAAATTCTGAAAGGATTCACTAATTTTTCTGAGTGGTTTTTATAAGATAAATATTTTAATGTGGCTGAAATATTTCACATGTCTCTGTTTTGTCTTTCATCCCCAATCTCTGCAAAATGTTTGCATCTGAATCCTTCCCATTAAATATGACTTTTTATCTGCATATTCACATCTCCAGAGACTGAGTTTGACTGTTTGTTTATTCATTGTTTGGGTTTATGCATCCTAAAGTAATGTTTCTCTTACTCTTTCTTTGAGCAGTCTTTTATCCACTGCTAGCTTGCTACATCAAGATGTTCAACATCATGGCACACGGGTGTAACCCATAAGTGCTCCGTTCTTCTTCTAACTCAAGTCTGAGCCTGAAAAAGCTCAACAAAGTGCACCAGCGAGGATCCTGAAATACTTTGGGCAGATTTTTAACTTCAAATTTTGCCTGGGCAGGGCCGTCAGACTACTCTGTTCGATTTCCA